TTTTTTTTGCTGTTGTACTGTTTAAAGCCCTTCCATCTGCACCTTGCTTTAAAGCTGGTTATGAATTGATGAGTGCGTTTGCCATTTGTTTTACTAATTTTGTAGGTCCCATGATTTTGATAAGCAAATGCTTATCAAATCAATATTTTCACTAAAATCATTATCAGCACATAGAGGAACCTCATAATTTACAAGATTACTACTAAATCTAAAAGATAAAACTGTATTGAGTGAATAAATAACAAATATTTGTAACTTTTAAACTGTAACTTTTGTGAAATGTTTAAAAAAAGGGAAGACAGAACTGTATAAAAGCAACTTTGCTAAAACCCTGTGTTGTGATAACGCCTGATCTGCGGTGCAGTGTTTGCACTGTGATGATGTGTGTTGCGATAAAATGATGCAACCATTTTGCCATGCGCTGCCGAGCAGTTGCATTAATGTTTTTTTTTTAAATTATTTTATTAAATCAAGCACTTTGATGTGTTCTAACAATACATCGTAGCGCATGTGCATAATATATACCACGATTGCACGTGTATGTTATATGTGTGTGTAGAGGGGGTTTTATTATTATTTTTTAACTATTATTTTTAATTATTATTTTCTACTTTACTGTGGGGGGCTTTGGAGAAATATTATTAATATAATTCCCCTTTGAAATAGAAAAAAAAGATTGAGAACACCGGGTCCTCAATCTCTGTTTCAGCAGCCCCAGCACCGAATGAACAGGAAGCACTCAGTACACAGGCTTCCTGTTCATTCACAAACCTAGTAGATAGTGTCTCCCCTGTTATGAATGGACAGGAAGCTTCTGTTACTGAGTGCTCCTGTTCATTAATAAACTGAGCAAATAGTGATTACTATGTCCCCAGTCATGAACGAACAGGAAGTGATGTACAGCACTTCCTGTTCATTCATAACTGGGGACATAGTAATCACTTACTATGTCTTCAGTTATTTACAAACACTAAGTGATCAGTACTGATTTGTTTTGCCCAGAGAAGGATCAGTATTTCACTTATTTACCAATCCTCTGCTTTCCATCCATGACTGCTACGCCCCCTCCCATCTGTCACTGGAGCTCACCGCCCCACACGGCCTCCAGACAGCAGCTCTCTCCTCCCCGCTGGGCGCCAGCGGCAGCGCTGTGTCCCCTCTGATGCCTCTGCTGATACAGGCGGGGGAGAGCAGCGGGGATTGGAGAGGACACAGATCGGAGCATGCAGCCAGTTCCCAGCGGGGAGGAGAGAGCTCCAGAGCTGCGCTAGCAGTGGCGGGCGGCAGCTCCACTGCCTTTTTCTAAAGTGATACTAAGGCTTGAGTTTTTTTTTTTTTCTACACCTAGGAAGCCAACCTTTTTACAAATACTCTTGTTTTTCCTTAAAAATGTTCAGCTCCTCGTTTTCGAGTGGGTCCCCGCATCGCTCTCTCTCCTGCCCCCTGCACGGGTGCCTCCATCAGCTAAGTGGCTGCTGTGGAGGCCCCCCGCGTTTGTGCGTTCCTGGCCATGCCCCTCCTCACCTCCCAAAAGGTTGTTTGACAGCAGAAGGAGCCCATGGCTCCTCTGCCCTCAGTATCCTCTCTTCCGCAACCAGGAAGTTCGGGGAACCGAGGATCGCTTCCGGGGGCCGGCGGTGGTGACACAGGTAAGTGTGTGTGTGTGTGTGTGGGGGG